CCCCCCCCCCCCCCCCCCCCCCCCCGCTTATTTCAGAGAAGACATTTGACATTTGTTTTTTGGGGATTGGCTAACTTCACTTAGCATAATCTTCTCTAATGCCATCCATTTCCCTGCAAATGCCATGATCTTATTGTTTTTTATTGCTGAGTATTATTCCATTGTTTATAAATGCCACATTTTTTTTAATCCATTCGTCCACTGAAGGACATCTATGTTGGCTCCACAGTTTAGCTATTGTGAATTGTGCTGCTATAAACATTGATGTGGCTGTGTCCCTATAGTATGCTGTTTTTAGGTCCTTTGGGTATAGTCCGAGAAGAGGAATAATAGCTGGATCAAATGGTGGTTCCATTCCCAGTTTTCCAAGGAATCTCCATACTGCTTTCCAAATTGGCTGCACCAATTTGCAGTCCCACCAGCATCCTCGCTAGCACTTGTTGTTGTTTGTCTTCATAATGGCTGCCACTCTTACTGGAGGTTGTTATTTGTCTTCATAAAGGCTGCCACTCTTACTGGAGACTCTGTGTCTAATAGAAGAAAAAATAGGCCCTAATCTCCATCACGTGGGGCTAGGCCCCAGCTTCCTTAATAAGATGCCTATAGTAAAATAATTAAAACCAAGAATCAACAAATGGGATGGATTCAAACTAAAAAGTTGTTTCTCAGCAAAAGATATAATATGTGAGGTGAATAGGGAGCCTACTTCCTGGGAACAAATTTTTGCCCCTCACACATCAGATACAGCTCTAATCTCTAGGGTATATAAAGAGCTCAAAAAGATAAGCACCCCCCCCCCAAAAAAAAAACCCAACAAATAATCCAATCAATAAATGGGCCAAGGACCTGAATAGACACTTCTCAGAAGAGGATATACAATCAGTCAACAAACATACGAAAAAATGCTCATCATCTCTAGCAATCAGAGAAATGCAAATTAAAACTACTCTAAGATACAACTTTGGTTTTTATTGGTTATCTCATACATTTTTTGAACCATCTGTTGATGGACTATTTCCTAATCCATTTCCAGAGTAGATACTAAATTCTGATTTTTTTGTTCTGCCACTCTGCTTTTAGAGGATCCAAACAACTCACTATGCAAAAAGTAAATAGATTTATAATTCCAGCTTCATGCTAAATGGTCTGCTTTTATGAAGTTTACATAAAAACCCTGAGCCTACTTATTGCATCAAAATTCCTTATCTCCAGAGACCCACTGTTGGGGTTGCTATGTGTATTTGTTACCCTTCACCAAATGTGTGTTTTTAGTGTAAGTGGTGTATATACCAGTTGCTATTAAAGGGAAGTATTTGAAAACTGAGTTTCAATGGTAGTTTCTTCTAAATTGGAATAGGCTTAGTACTGATGAGCATTCTTTTAATCTCCTTTTCAGGCTGCTTTTACTCCTGGACCTTTTTCAAATAAAAATGCGTATCAATATGTGTTACTTTCAAAAAAAATTATTTTTATTTTACATTACAAATTGTGTGTATGTGTGTGTGTAATTTGTACATTTTACACTACGCTTACTCACCTTCAGAGCTTTAAATAATTGCTTAAAATTATAGCTTAAGGTAAAAATTTCTTGAATTTACTGTCGTTTTTAGTAAATTAAATGTTATTTTGGGGTATTTTAAACACATTTTATTATATATGAGTAAAAGTGGCCACAAAAATATTTATTTTTGAATGATACAAATGAAACTTAAATAATGTATTTGACTTTTCCACTATTTTTGCTTGTCTTTTCTTTTGTTATAGATGCTTGTTACCACACCAGAAAAATGGGATGTAGTGACAAGAAAGAGTGTTGGGGATGTTGCTCTTTCCCAAATTGTAAAACTCCTTATTCTTGATGAAGTTCATTTGCTGCATGAAGATAGAGGACCAGTATTAGAAAGCATAGTTGCACGTACTTTACGGCAGGTAAGAGAAAGTTATTTGTAAGTTTATTTTGAGAGAACCAGTAAGTTTTTAATCCTAAAATATAGAATTCAAAGGAAAACTTAATATGCATTATTCTCAGGGATAAAGGTAATTTTAGTATGAAGAAACACTTAACTATTTCATTTTCACATTAACTATTCAGTTTGTTCCAAATCTTATTTCATTGTTGTCTCTTTAACCAAAATAAGTATAGGAAAACTTCTATTCTAAACCTGTGTTGTAAAGTTGATCCAATATTCACTAGTCAGAATTAAAATATTTTACAACATAAGGAACTATGTTGTAAAATATAGTTCTTCTCTGCATTGTACCCTCCAAAAATCTGAATGTGATTTATATTTTTTCTCATATATTGGATAAAATGAGATTTGATTGCCACATAGCCATAATTTTAACTAATTTTTTTTTAAAGGGGCATGTTTATGTTGTCTCTAGGTTTGGGCCTTTTTGGTAATTTATAAAATAGTAGAAACAAATAATTGGTAAATTCACCAATGCCAGGAGTATCAGGATATTCTTTGTTAGCTATTTTTTTTTTTTTAATAAGTGAAAGGATATGAACTCTTAGAATAGTCATGGATATTAAAGTGAAGTTTTCTGGTAGATTGTACATGTATGGAAAATAGATGAACAAAAGTTTTTCAAACTCATCAAGAACTCCGTTTCCTCGACTCCCCATTTGTTATTGTCTTTTATTCATATTCTCTTGCCTTAGTGTTCTTCCTAAAGTAGACAAGACCTGATGACTAATCAGTATGTTGTCAAAAACCTTAAGTTACTTACCTCTGAGTACCTGGCAAAATTACAACAGCAAATCAGCTAGCCAGACTGCTCATCATTAGAGGAGAAGATCACACAGTGGTGTAGACTAGTGTCAGTATATATTCATAGAATATGATATACACTACACATTCATGGACTTTGAATTTACCTGAATTGCTGGGATTACCCTGTAACATCTAAGCAGTTTTTCTTCTATTTCCCTAATGTGACCATTACTATGCTTCCTTAGTCTCCTTTATCACTCTCCTCCACTTTGTCATGCCTCATTCTTACATGAGCACTTTTTACTGAAAGGAAATAAAGTCCTTCATGCTTGAACTCCTCAAATTCTTTTCTTTCCCCTAACCAGAAAAGAATCCTGCCTCTCCTCCTGCCATCATAAGGATTCCATCATTATATTCTTAACCTTTTCTCAGAGGTCTCTTTTCCTCTTGCCTCAGACCCCATTTATTTGACTCTGTAAGTTACCCCTTTTCTTTCTCCTATATCTTCAGTTTCTGTCTCTTAGTGGCCACTGTCTCCTTAGTGTAATAGAATTAAAAAGTCTTTTGATCTTTACCAGAAAACTTCCCTCAAATTTATCCTTCTCCAATAATTTTGCTCCATAAATTTCCTTACCACCTAGCTTCTTGAAATATTAAAGTATCTTCACTGTTTTCCTTTTGATTTTTCAACCTCTGCAGTCTGGTCACTGCTTGAACTAAATCAACATAAATAAAATATTTTTACTAGTATCACCAGTTACCAAAGGATAGTTTTCAAACCCAGTCTTTTTTAACTTGTGATGTTAGTAATTTTGATATTGGATACTACTCATCATTCCTCAGTCTTGAAACTTGTTTCCTTTGGATCCATGATGATACCCTGTCCTAATTTTTTACATGACTTTTTCCCCATCTATCTGCTCTTTCTCAGGCTCCTTTACTTCTCTCCTGTCTTCATCATTAATGTTTATATTCTCTAAGATTCTGTTACCTGACATTTTTTTTCATTTTAAATATTTATCCAAGAAAACAATGCTTTTGTGCCTACCTTACCTAAATCTTTATATGTCATTACAGATTGTGTGTGTGTGTGTGTGTGTGTGTGTGTGTGTGTATACAGGTTGAGTATCCCTCATCTAAAATATTTGAGACCAGAAGTGCCTCATATTTTAGATATTTTTGGTAGGGAAGAGGATTTTGGAATATTTGCATGCCAATAATGAAATTCTTTGGAATGAGACCCAAACATAAACACAAAATTCACTTATGTTTCATATACATCTTAGACACATAGCTTGAAGGTAATTTTATATACCATAGTTTTAGTGTGCCTACATTTTTACTATGACCCGACATAAAATTTCAGGTATGGAATCTTGCATTTGTGGCAGCATGTTGGTACTTAAAAAGTTTCAAATTTGGGTGCATTTTGAATTTCAGATTTTTAAGTTAGGGATGCTCAACCTCTGTATGTATATATGTAAATATTGTATTTAAAAATTTTTTTTCTGCTGATTTCTACCTACATTCAAATTCAGCTTTATGTTTCTGCTTTAGTTTCCCATAATATCTTTGCTAATCATGTTAGAACTCTGTTATCTTTTCTGTATCAGTATAAATAAGGTTGCACTCCACTTGTTTCTAAGCCAAAACCCTGGAAGATACAGCAAGATTTTCCTACTTCCTTAACATTCCATCTGAATATCTAGTTTAATAACAGTTATTTTATATTTCCTATCCTGAAGATCTCTGATCCATATCCAGGCATAGGAATTTAATATACAAAACTTTAGGAAATGATATTTTGTGCCAACCAAGTTTTAAATGTTCCTATGTATTCCTTCTAGTAAATGAAGTATAAAATTCTAGGCATTAATGATTTAATTGTATCAAACAAACTCTCAGTGCATTGCAGCAAATATAGAAGAGGTTTTTTTTGATAATTTTGGAGTGGATATCTAAGCAATATCATAAACTCCAAATGTTATAAAGGAAAACTGTGCCACATTTCATTGTGTAAATATTAAAATAGTCTGCCCAGTCATGATAGTAAGGACATCACCCCAAAAGTTAAAATTCAAGTGACTGCATATCAGAAATTATTTGTTACACATTTTTCAATAGAAATAAGCATGCTGAGAAAGATTGAAAAGATACTTGAAAGAAATCCAAACCAATATTTCTATTAGATTAGCAAAACTGAAAATGAAATGTAATTCCATTCACTAAGATCAACCCTATGTTTTTACTTCTAGCAATCTAAACTATAGAAATAATAACACAAACTCACAAAGATGTATTAGTACTAGTATTCACTGAAGCTCTCCTCCCGCTCTTTTTTTTTTTTTTTTTTTGAATGCTGGGGATTGAACCCAGTGCTTAATACATGCTAGACAAGGCTATACACTGAAATACACCCCCAGCCCAAAGTTCTCTTTTTATATCAAAGCATTTTGAAAACAATCCAAATATTCAATACCAGAAATGGTTTAATATATTTCAGTATGTTCATACAAATGAAATTCTACCTTTAAAAAGAATAAGGTAGGGCCATATGACCTGGGCTTAAAATAGTCTGTGTTTTCATTGAGCAAACAAGCTGTTCTATTTATTTGTGTATCATAAAAAGTATGCTATATTTGTATTTTTGTTCATTATTTTACCCAGTGAATACTTACTAAGCACTTACATTTTGCCAGCTCATAGTTTTAGGTGCTTTAGATATAATGGTAAACAAAACAACGTTTTTGTTTTTATTTACATTTTAAATGTTTTTGTTAGTCCATTATAATTATACATGATAGTGGGGATCATTTTGATATCATACAAGCATGGAATTAATTTGCTCCATTTCAGTCTCTAGTGCTTTCTCCTTCCCTTTCTTTTCTTGCTCTCCCAGTTCCCCTTCTTATCTACTGGATATTCTTCTATTTATTTATATATTTTTTTTAAATTGGTACTTTATAGATTTACAATGAAGGTGGAATTCATTGCGGTGTATATGTGCATAACATAATTTGGTCACTTTCATTCCTGAGTTCTTAACTTTTTCTATATCTTCTCTCTCTCTACCTTCTTTCTTTGTTCCACTGATCTTTTCTGGTTTCATGTGATCACTGCCCACCCCCCATTTTGGTCTAGCTTCTGTATATGAGAGAAAATATTCAACCCTGACTGAGTCTGGCTTATCACTTAACATAATGTTTTCTATGTCCATCCATTTACCAACAAATTCCATAATTTCATTCTTTTTTATGGCTGGTTAAAACTTCATTGTGTATGTATACCACATTTTCCTCATCCAGTCATCAATTGAGAGACATGTGGGCTGATTTCATAATTTGACACTGTGAATCGTGCTGCATTAAACATTGAGGTGGCTATATTGCTATAGTATGTTGATTTTTAGTTCTTTTCGATAAACACCTTGGAGTAGGATAGTTGAGTCATACAGATGGTTCCATTTCTAGTTTTTTGAGGAATGTCTACACTGCTTTCCAGAGTGGTTGTACTAATCTGCAGTCTCACCAACAATGCATGAGTATAATTTTGTTCCCCATCCCCAGCATCTATTATTATTTGGGTTCTTGGTAATTGCATTCTAACTAGAGTGAGATGAAATCAGTGTAGTTTTGATTTGCATATCCCTGATTGCTACTTATGTTGAACACTTTTTTCATGTATTCATTGTCTTTGTGTTTTTTCTTTTGAGAAACGTCTGTTTAGTTCCTTTTTTCATTTATTATTTGAGCTTTTTTGGTGTTAAGTTTTTTATAGATATATACTTTATACATTCTAGATATTAATCGTTTGTCAGAATAGTAGCTACCAAATATTTTTCTCCCATTCCATAGACTTTTTGTATGTTTTTGTTTTCTTTGCTGTGCAGAAGTTTTTTAATTTGATGTCTGCCGTTTATTAACTCTTGTCATTATTTCCTAAGTTTTAGATGTTCTATTGACAAAGTCATTGCCTGTACGTCTTTGTTGGAATGTTGACCCATGGTTTCTTCCAGGAGTTGCATACTTTCTGATCTCATTCCTATGTGTTTGATCCTCTTGGAATTGACTTTTGCACAGAGTGAAAGATAGGGGTCTAGTTTCATTCTTCTACATATGGATATCCAATTGTACCAGCACCATTTGTTAAAAGGCTGTTTTCTCTAACATGTAGTTTGGCACCTTTGTCAAGGATCAGATGACTGTATATATGTGGATTTATTTCCATGTCTTTTCTATTCCAGTGGTCTTCTTGTATATTTTGATGTCAGTACAATGCTATTTTTCTTACCATAAGTCAGTAGTACAGTGTGAAATCAGGTATTGTGATTCCTGTCATTGTTTTTCTTGCTCAGTGTTGCATTGGCTATTCTTCCAAATACATTTTAGAACTGTTTTTTCTAATTCTGTGAGAAATGTCATCAGTACTTTGGTAGGGATTACTTTGAATCTGTAACTTTTGGTAATAGTGTCATTTTGACAATATTGCTTGCCTGTCTGAGAATATGTGAGGTCTTTCCATTTTCTAAGGTCTTCTTTAATTTCTTTCTTCAGTGTTATAAGTTTTTATTGTAGAGGTCTTTCACCTCCTTGATTAGATTTCTTCCCAATGTTATTGTTTTTTTGTTTTTAGTTTTTTGTAAATTATATAATTTTCATAATTTTTGCTCAGCAGACTTATTATTGGAGTAAAGGCAAGCTATTGATTTATGAGTGTTGATGTTTTATCCTGCTGTTGTGCTAAATTTGTTCATAAGCTCCAGCAGTCTTCTGGTAGAGTTTTTATTTGTTTTTTGATCTTCTAAATATAGTATGTTATCAGAAAATATAATTTAAATTATTTTTAGGCTGGTGTAGAAATAGGTGTGTATGTATACATGAAAGAATATTCAGCAAGCTGGAAAAATGATTTCTTAAAAGTAAAGGGACAGGGGGCTAGGATTGTGGCTCAGAGGTAGAGCGCTCGCCTACTGTGCATGAGACACTGGGTTCCATCCTCAGCACTACATAAAGATAAAATAAAGATATTGTGTCCACCTATAACTAAAAACTAAATATTTTTTTTAAAAAGTAAAGGGACAGGGCTGGGGTTGTAGCTCAGCAGTAGAGCACTCTCCTACACATGTGAGGCACTGGGTTTGATCCTCAGCACCACATTTAAATAAATAAAATAAAGGTATTGTATCCACCTACAACTAAAAAAAATTTTTTTTAAAAAGTAAAGGGACAGTATTCTTGGGATATATGATCACTTTTATCATATAAATGAAAAATACGTATATATGCACATAAATACAGAGGGTTGAAATGTTCAAAGAAGATTTATAAAAATTAAATATTTTAGCTAATATCAATTTAATAATAATTTCACAGGTATAACTAGTTGTAAAATATAGTTGAAGCATTGAGAAGTATCTCCAAGTCCTTTTTTACTACAGTGGATATGTTCTGGTACAGATTTTATGTATAAGACCTCAAAAAGAAATATTCAGTACACTTTTTACACAAAAGAGAGTTATTTTGATCATGAAACATTTTCATTTTATACCTAAATACTTAAATAGCTTAGTTAAAATTGTTTAGGAAACCATGCTGCATGAATTCATACATTCTACATTTACCTGCAATGAACTTGTTGGACCATGTCCATCCAGTTAAAAGCATCCCACAGATAAAGAATTTCCTGCAAGTATAAAACATTAGAGGCCAAGTAAATAGCATTAGTACATTTGCCAGAAGGTCTATCATTCACATCTTTTTATAAGGGGATTTATTTAACTAGGACAGCTTTCTTTTCTTTACCCCTCTGTCCCCATAGAGGGAGAAAGTAGAATGTAGCCTTGCTGCTAATTCTTTCTGTATGTATGTACACACATACATACACACACCCATATGCATGTAACATGTATATGTTTAAAGCAATTATATCTTCATAAATGTTTTTGCAAATATAAATGTAGAATATAATTTTATATATGGTTTATAAATATGATAAATGGTATAAAATGGGATATTTTATGTATCATTTAATTATATAAATATATAATTAATCTTAATATACAATGTTATGGACATATAATTTATAATTAAGTAATATATTAATTCATACCTCACATTATCATCTCCATAATCATTTTCCATTTATGTTTCCTTATAATCATTTGCTAAATAATTGTTTATTATCTTAAGAATATTTTCAAATTCCTTAGCTGGATAGTAAAGATTATTCAATCCTGGTCTTTCTTTCTGATTTTAACTGCTATATATCTGTTGGAAAGTAGACAGATACATGTCGACTACTGTGTTTATGATTCTCATATTTCCAATATATTAGTGCAGTGCTCATGAATGTTTAATAGAAGCAAAGTTCCTGTTTTTTGTTTGTTGTGATTACCATATGTGCCCCGTAGATGGCAGTGTTTTACATCATTCTATATTTGTTACTAATGTAGACCTGTGACAGGAAGCTGTTCCAGTGAAGTTTCTGTCCATGATCTGAAATTACATGCTAGAGAGGAGACTAAATACCCAACACACTTGAAATGATGGGGAGAAATTCAGAAAAGATAGAAATACAAGAACTCTTAAATATGTTGTATTCAACAACATTGATCTGGTATTAGTTGTCTCAGTTACTTTGATTTCACTGAGTAGGGAGACTACCCAAATTTAGATTTTTTGTGTGAGGGGAAACATGAAAGTTTAGTGCCTCATTTTTGTGTTAAATGATAAAAATAAATCTTTAAAGCACTATTTTTTTTTTATCATTTTGAACAATAGATTCTTTTTAGGGAAATATCTGTGGCATTTAAAAAGCTTTGGGATTTGGTTTAGGACATAAAATTCCAAATTTTTCTTATTTCAAGTAAAGTATTTCTCAAAGGACTTCATTATGTTAAAATTATGAGTTATACTTTTAGATTAAAAACATGGTTGTTCTATAATGGATTTTTAGCAGAAAAATGTCTCTGGTAATTGCTAGGGGACCAGGTATTTAACATCAAATGAGCTTAAAATTTTGTTCAGTAAATTTTGTATTTTAAATAATAATTTTAAAAAGAAATATAACTTCTATTTCTTTCCAGATTACTATGGACACTATATATAACTATAGAGTAATTAAAATCATTCTAATTACTTTGTATGATGAAGTATTATAACAGGTGTGATAATATAATATTCCATTATTTGGAGTTCTTTGCTTTTGGTTCAGTTTGGTTTGGGTTTTTGCTGATATCTGTATGATTTCTTTAGTGAAAACAAATTGATGGTAATGTGTTCTATATGTGTGTATATTTTGATTTCCACCCAATTCTGTCAGTTTTTGATTCTTCCTATTTATACTTCTATATATATTCTCTACATGTGTCTTATTCAGTTTTGCATCATTAAGTGGTACTCCAGTGTTGATGGAGGAGTAATTCTGGGAGTATTACTGTTATTCATACCGGGCTAATTTGCTTATTGAGTCTAACAAATTAGATTCAGCTAATTTGTCAACAACTTCCTCAAAAAAAACGGCTGTGAAATTGATAGCACCATCCTGGGATCATAATGGTGTGTTTTAATTACCAAATGAATTGAAGCTTTATGGGTTTTGGTTTTGATTTTTGTGTTTGGTACCAGGGATTAAATCCAAAGGCACTTTACCACTGAGCCACATCCCCAGCCCTTTTTAATTTTTTTTTTTTTTAATTTTGAGACAGGGTTTCCCTAAGTTGCTTAGGGCCTTACTGAGTTGCTAAGGCTGATTTTTGAACTTGGAGTACTCATGCCTGAGCCTCCCAAGCCTCTGGGATTATAGGTGTGTGCCACTGTGGTGCTGATTGGAAGTTTTGACCATCCATTAATATTATCTTTGTGGGTATATTACATTATTATCAGAGAATTTACCCTATATGTTTTTTAGTTTGAGGAAGTTAATGAGTTTTTGTTGACCTAATAATATGTTCCATTGTTATAAATTTTTATTGCTATTTAATATAAATTCCTATGCATATTTTTAATAGTAGGGAGTTCTATTATGTATCTGATGGATCAAGTTGTGAATTGTGAGCTTTAGAGTTTTGCATGGTAAGACCCTCAGTTGATATCTGAACTGATTTCCTTCTACAATTTTTAGAAGGTCCTATTAATAGTTCACATAATACTGATTTTAGTTAAATTAATGTAAACAACCCATACTTATTTAAAGTAACTTCCAATTAACATAACCCATGTAGGTTGAATCCACACAGAGTATGATAAGAATACTTGGACTGTCTGCAACCTTACCCAACTACCTTGATGTTGCGACATTTTTACATGTTAATCCCTACATTGGACTTTTCTACTTTGATGGCCGTTTTCGTCCAGTACCTCTTGGACAGACGTTTTTGGGGATTAAAAGTGCAAATAAGGTAAAATACTCCTTTTAATAATTATATTTTTCTAAAAAGTATTTATGTTGACTTACTGTTGAATACTTGTCTGGAAATTAAGACTGCAAAAGACTATTTTAGTAGCATTCCTAATGTGCTATCTAAGACAAAATCAAATATACGTCCTCAATGACTGGTAGTTGAATACATCTTACAGAAAGGTGCTTGTAGTAGTTTGTATTGCTATTTTCAATGTATATTTTGTGTTCTTAGTAAAATTTCAGAAAGTTCCTTTGACTGAAACCCATTGTAAAATAATAAGAGCTCTACTAAACCAGTAATAAATATTTTAATATAATGTTAACAAAATAATAAGATAAATTATATAATTGAAAAATAATTTTGTGGTAGCAACCATAAGGGGGGATATTCTGTTTAATTTAAAATGTTTTATATTTATCATATATATATATATATATATATATATATATATATATATAGTGTCATTTCTAAAATTCTATATAGTGCTTCAAAACTTTGCTTATCTAATACCTTAAGTAGTACTATTTGCATTATTAGAGTTCTTATTACAGACTAATTTGATAATATGAAGGAAAACTTTGTTTTACATTTTATACAAAACTGTGTTTAACATTTATTTTTTATTATTCTCTTCAACAACCCATATTTTTCTTTAGAAGAAATAACTGTATGATAAAACTTACAGCCTTTTGACCTCCTTAGTAAAGAGAACAAGATGCAATCATATGCTATCATGTCAAACTTGTTCTTTAGTGTGTTAATTTACTTCTTTCTAAAAATATATTTTATTTGTAAAATAGAGCCTTATACCATTGTAAGTTAAATATTCGCTAATAGATTTTAGAAATGACTGTTACAATAGATATGTACACTAATTGCATTGCATAAATGTCAGAGATCTTTCAAATTTTAGAGATCTTTTTCAGATTTATTCATAATAAATATCACGATATGGTAATATTATATGAATATTTCAATATTTGTTGATTGTTTTAAGTGCTCTCTAGTATTACTTGATGCTTGTTTTTTCAGTCATATTTAATATATATTTGATTATTTAGTTCATTTTAATGTATCAGAGTGATAAATGTAGAACTGCTTCTTTATGGCTTTAGATTATATTTTGCTTTATAATTTAAATGTTAGCAGATGGTTATCATAGAGATATTAGGAAAAGAAAATTGTTACAGATTTCTGTCATTCATCTTAAAACTTATTTTCTTTCAACTGCATCATACAAATTGATAAATCCTTTAAAACTAATTAAAATTTTTATCACAATATGTTAGCATCATACTCATGAAAGGAATGGTGTCAGAAGATGAGCTATCAATTATTTTGAAGATTTAGAAATTTAGAAATTTTTAAAACGTATATATTTAAATAGTGTAAATAGTTAATTATGCTTTTTTAAATAAATGTAGACTTTTTATTATTAAATTTATTAATATTATACTAACTTGAAATATGCAATGGGTAACCATTAAGTCTTCCCCCAAGGTGCTGTCAATATGTTTTATAACCAGTTGTTATTTTGTCATTTATTATAAGAAGACATCCTTGTAGACTTCTCAATTTCATTCCAAAATTCATAATATGATCCCGTTGTTATAAAAGAATATGACAAAGTGCTATAAGTAATGTTCATAATTTCGACTAATGGCTTTGTACAAAATTCAACCCAAAGTGTACTGAAATAGTTATTGGGATTTATTTGGTGATAATAGGGTTATTTTTTTAAGTCATTGGTGGAAATAAATTATCCTATGATCACCCTAACCTATTTAGCCACTATCAGTTAAAATAGTTCTAGATTTTAAAAATGTTTATTTTACTGAAATAAAAAATCCAAATTATATTCATTTCACACATACATGACCCTTTTCCTCACCTTCTTACCTTTCTAGTTAGACACTTCCTCATCATTAATAGGGGAAAGGAAACCCTTTTTTAAATTCAGTTTGTATATTAGGTTTGTAATTAATCTGAAAACTTTCTGTGGAAAAAATAGTTCTCCTGTCCATATACATTACCGAAATTATCTGTTTCCTAGGATCCATCTCAATATGCCATTTGCCATACCACCTGAAGTGTTCTCACAGCTTTGAGAATTAAAAAGGAAAAATGTATATATAGATTATGGAATGAAATAAAAGAAAAGCAGCCTTTTCTAGGGAAAGTAGAGAGAACTTTTAAAGTTATTCTAAAATACCTATAACTAGTATGTTATTCTTAAAGATAGTGTCTTTTAAAAACTTGGCATTCTTATCTATGAGTAAGAGGAAGGGGCATTCTGAACCTTTGAAGTATTTCATCAGTAGTTTTAATTGCATTGTATTTGTTTCTTATGGGAAGTTTTATGTATTTGTTGCTTCTGTGTATACTAGTCTAAGAGGTAAAATAAAAAGGATGCATTATAATTGACAAAGTTTTATTTCTAGGTAGAAAGTTTATAACATTTCATTTGATATTTTTTATGTTTTATAAACTTTAAGATGCAGCAGTTGAATAACATGGATGAAGTATGCTATGAAAGTGTTTTAAAGCAAGTAAAAGCTGGACACCAGGTACACTTAATTTATTTTATAATTTTTTAAAGACTACTTGTTGATAAAAATTTCTAATTTTTAGATTATTCATGAAAAACTTTTCTTTGAATTATGGGACAGTGACTCAAAGGTTTTATTTCTTAAAAATTGCTGTACTCAATAAGTAATCATATCCCACAAAAATAATCATAGATAATATTGACATCCGACTATTAATAGGTCATGCATTTTGTTTGACATTTTTAATACAAAAATTAAAGTTTAGAAAAGCACCAATCTGTATTAGCTCAAATTTTTAATCCATATCTTCTTACATAATACAGAAATTTTTAGTGTTATATTATTATTACTATTTTCATGAATTTGTTTTAATTGAAACACACACACACACTTATATAAAATAACATTTTGTATTGTTTTATGGTGTTCATGAATTAAGCAGTTTGGGGATAGGTGTGTAACTCAGTGATAGAGTGCTTGCTTACTTAGTATGCACAAAGCCCCTATTTAGATCTCCACCACTGCAAAGTAAAAGAAAAGAGAATAGCAGTTTTATTTTAAAACTCTTTTTTATCCCAAATTTTTCAATTAAGATTGTCAGTTAAAAGAAGAATGATAATAATTGCTTATAGAAAAATTAATCATTGTTCAATTGTTTATGTTTCTTTGGGTAGATTTGTTAAAGGATTTATTTATTTATATGTACAGTGTTAACCTTCAAGACATATGATATGTTTTTCTGGCCTTTTGGTTTTTAAATTCCTTTTAAGTGCAGGAGAGCCTTTTGTCCCCCAGATTAAATCTTATTTGTAGCACCAATATATATAACATTGTGACTTCACAACATGGGACACCACCCAGTAAAACACCCTGGAAACATTTTGCCTATTTTTCGTAAGCAGTTTTAAAATTTGTTTTTCTAAATAATCTTAACAAAATGTGCTTAATTTTAAGAATAACTTTTTTATTATTTGTTTTATCTTTATTTTTGGTCCTCTTATATTTATTTCAAACTGTTTTAAAACTTAACTCTATTTATTAATGTTATTTTTAATTGAAAAATAAACCCTGATTATTCTAAATTAATATTAAACTAATTTAAAATTATTAATAATAATAGTAGTGTTTGATCTTTCCTAATTCTTATTTTGCCCTAGCTCTTAATAAATGCCTGAAACTGATAAAATTATCATAATTCATTATCTCAGTGAATCTTTCAGCAGCCTCTGAGGCTGGAACTATTATTCTTCCGCGACAGATGAAGAAAACGAGGTTCTCTGTAAAATAAAGCATGTTCTTGTCCTCTGATTTTGTTCTTCTTTTTCACTATTATGTTGGCTATTCTGGGTCTCCCTTTTATTTTGAACTGTGAGTTAATATTTTACATCAAATTTTTAAATTGTGATGATATTTCTTCCATCACAAGAAAATTTTTTAAATCTATGATAGATTCCACTATTTGTGTGTTTTACTAAATATTTTTTCTTTTTAAATAATGAAAATTAATATATAAATACTTTACTATGTAATGTGGAACGGATGTTTTATCTTTTAACTCTAGCCAGGAAAACACCTGTCACTCTTTGCAGTATCTTTTGTAATTGAAGAAACTTGCAAATATTAGGAAAAAATCATAAGAAGCTACTATAGGAATGTTGTTGTATTGCCCCTCTAATTAAGGATATTAATCAGTTTTTTTTCCTCTTTTTAATTAGCACTTACCAGAAATGTAGATCTCCTAAAAGATACCAAAATCATTGATTTTCAAGTCTCTTTTATAAAACGCAGAGCATTTGTGTTTAACCTATGTATAGATATCCATACCTATGTATAGATATCATCCTGTATATTTTAAATAATTTCTACATTATTTGTACCACATAATCACAATGTAAGTAGTATGTAAATAGTTACACGGTATTATTTAGGGAATAATGAAAAGGAAATGTTTATATGTGTTCAGTACAGATGTGATTTTTAAAAAATATTTTCTGTCAGTTCTTGGTCGAATCATGAGGTTGAAAGCATGGATAAGGTACCCACGCACAGATCCTTATAAAGTAAGAGGGCTGATTGTACTTTTTACATTATTATAGATCATAAGCTTGCTTTTCATTGGAATAAATTGTATTTGGGGAGTAAAAAGAAGTTTTGGCCAACTGTTTTTAGTAAGAATAGCAAACTCATGTATCCATGTGAAAACATATGTAAAATATACACTGTTGTAAATTCTAAGTAATGTAAGAAAGTAGCTTAATAATACCTTTAACTGACAGTAGCATATCTACTTTTAAAGTCTTTGAATCTGTTTTCCTTTTTTTTTTTAAGGACTATAGCCTTTATCATGCTGTTTATAATTGTTCTCTTTTACTTCTTTTTTTTTTTGTACCAAGGATTGACCTAGGGCCACATTTAACCACTGAGCCAAATCTCTAGTCCTTTTTGTTTTTTATTTTGACATGGGGTCTTGCTAAGCTGCTCAGGGCCTCACTAAGTTACTGAGGCTGGCCTTGAACTTGTATTTCTCCTGCCTTAGCCTCCCAAGCCACTGGGATTACAGGCATGCATCACTGTGCTCTGCTTAGAATTGTTATTTAAATAAATTTATTATACTACTACAGAATTTTAAATATGAATTTATAATTAAAAATATGTCTTTGGTAAATAAAATGCAGCTTTATCCCTAAATGTTGGAAAAGGAAGTAGTTTCAATTGAAGAAAATTTTAAATAAATGTGTAATTTAAGGGATCTGAGGAAAACTGTCTCTTCTTTCTTTTCTGGCATAGTTCCATCCCTATAATAGGGACTATAATGTCTCCTTAGAAATCTTGATGTATAAAACAGAGATGCTGAACAAAGATATTTGGTCAGTAGAGATGTGGTCATCCCGCCAACTTTTCCCAATTTTAGTGTAGATTCATTCATTGCTTTGTTTTTTAGAATGAAAGCTGACTAAGGGCGGGCTCTTATAGTAAGTTTTGATTTATTGTCATAAATCTGGTGCCTCGTTACAAAGGACAGACATCAATGGGATATACAAAGGAAATCTTCAGTGACTAGGGACTGGTTTCCTAGAACATGAGGAGCCTATCAATTGAATGTGGCTGAGGCAGAAGTTGGCAATAAGAATTACCTCTCCAAGTTCTGTCATGTCATGACATCCATGAGTGCCAATTCTTTAAGAAGTGTCAACACTAAGCATTCTTCTCTTGTACTCACATCTGGCTAAAACTGCACTGTGGGTAATTGTATAATGTTTAATTATTGTTTGAGAGCCTGTGGACAGACTTTGATATCTTAGATTGTATCAGATCTGTGCTGTTCCAAACAAGAATTAGAGCAGATAACTATGACCCTTCTGTAGGCTGTATACACTAAGGAATGAGGTTTAGGCTGTAGTTTCAATTCCTGTTCTTGAATGATGTTTGTTTTCCATAGTAAGAGGATTTACTTAAGCTTTGTACATATCTCCTCATTATTTTAATTATAAAAATAAAATGACATTTTAAAAATAGTTTCTGTTATTTTATCATTATTAATGTAATTTTATACATTTCTCTCGTCTTTTATCCATTCACATATGCAGCTTTTCATTTTGCTGATCCAAGCACTTTTATTATTATTTATAATCCATTGTAAATTAGAATTATACTGAGTATACAGTTTTATATTCACTCTTTTTCTTAATGACTAATAAACATAATGTACCTTACATGCTCTTCACTATTTTATTATCTACAGATAAGTAAAAGAATCTTTTTTTCAGGTTCCAATTTGCAGATACTATATAAGTCTGTTTGGACTTTTAATTTTCCCAGTCCTCTGACGTATACATGATTATTTCCTTTTTTTTTTTAAAGTGATGAATATATAACATGTTAGGCAGCTTCTCAAGGTCATACATCTAGTTAAGGCTGGCATCAGGATTTCAGTACAGGTCCTTTGTTAATAAAACTTTACATTGCTCCTTTGCCATTTAGCTGACATTGGCTGTTCCTTTATTATTGGTTATTCCCCCATTATTGAGTACTTTAAATGATTGCAATTATCTATTGTTAATGACAGTGCTGCTGTAATGATTATCTTTCTACCCACTATTATTTTTTCTGTGTAAAAACTTATTTATGCTGCCCAAAGTGGCAAACACTTGTAATCTCAGCTACTCAGGAGGCTGAGATAAGAGGATCATAAGTTCTAGTCCATCCTGGGCAACTTTGTAAGATCCCATCTCAAAATTAAAAATAAATGGGGTCAGGGATGTGGCTTAGAGGTAGAGCACTCCTAGGTGCAACCTCCAGTACTTCAAAGAAAAAAAAATGAATTTACATATGACAAGTTCCCAAAGGGCTTTATGACTCAAATGCTACCTTTTTATGATTTGCCACATTATTCTAGAAATGTACTTCAAATGAATTACAACATTTCCTTGTCACCACAGACCTACATTAGATTATATAAATGTCTGCTATATTTCTTAGGAGCAATCTTATAAATGTAGTGTGATGTAAATTTCTGTCCTAATATGCTTTTGCCATTTTGAATTTATTTTTTTCAATCCTAAGGCATTTTCAGTCAGAGTAGTGTCATACTAGTGAGTTCTGTTTTTATCAATTATTATCTCTAAATCACAATTATAATAACCCAGATATGCATACTTTTTTTTTTGTATTCTGTTTTGGGTATGCGCTTATTTGCAATTAGAAAAACCTGTTCTTCCCCACATTTTTGTTACATACTGTGACCCTATGATATTTTAACCCCTGTTCTAGTTTTATTAAAATCTGATTTCAATATGATTAGTATGAAAGATATTGAATAAAGAAAGAACTTAACAAATTTAACCCTTGGGCATGCGCAAAAGTAATAGTTTCAGGAAAAAATAATCACTGTTAATTCTACTACCCTGAGATAGCTTCTGTAGGTATATGTCCTTCCATTTCTTAAATGTACTTTTCCCCTTTAATTCCCTGTTCTTTTTTCCCCTTGTATTCCTATAGCTTCTCTAAGCTATTGTATT